ATGTCACATCATGCCATTACAACAAATGAACAATAGTAGAGACAAAGACTACTCTAGAACAGTGTGAAAGAGATGTGCCAGGTACAGGTTTTCAGAAACCTTCCTAAACCTTTGGTCATAGATTTTAGTGTCCTCTTGAAAGATAAACTTCCCAGTCCTTGGATTACTTTAGGATGTTTTTTTCCAGGGTTTTCAGTGTTTTGGTGATTTTTCCAATTTATTAATGGGTTTATTCAAATACAGGTCATAAAAAGAAGTTAAAGTTGCAATAGCAATGTTTTTTGACCTGATTTTTATCCTAAGGAAACAAGGCTTAGGCAGCCATGTTGTGTGTGCTGGTCTATCGTGATACCTTCTCTCCCTTCTCAGCCTCAGGAACGGGAAGAAGTTTGGCATTCATTCACTAACAGTGGGCAAAGGTGGAGTGGGGTTTTTTGGGGGGCTTTTTTTCCAGTTGAAATTTGCACTATGAAAAGCTTAACCTTGACCCCATGTGTGTGTGAATGTGCTTTCTATCAGCATAAAAATCCCAGCAGTATCAAATGGATTTTACAGGTTTTACCTGGGGAATGGTTCTGGAGTGCCCCACTGTTAATATCATTAGGTATGAAAGATATGGCATTTTGAGTGATGTTTCAAAATCTTTCACTAAAACATGTAAAGACTTGAATTTTAAATAGAACACAAACTTTCAAGGTTTCTCAGTATTTCATGCAGAGGTTTAAAGGAAGAAAAGGAAATCAAACCCACGCAAATACCCCATATTCTTCCTTTATTATCACCTCTAAACTGTATTCTGATACTTAATACTTTTGCCTTGGTTTCTTTTGTTTCTGTTTGCACAGAGATGGTTGTGAACTTACAAAATCAGTTTGGCAAGCTGTCTGGTTCAGCACAACGTGCTGAAAAGCCAAATCCTTCAAGTTTTCAGTTAAGTTGGTCTGAAGAAAACACAGATGGGTGTTGTTTTCACGGGCATAGCCTGAAGGGAGTTTTGCAAGAAAAATGTGGTTTACTTACAGCCATGAACCCTGACTACTGGCTGTGTACAGTCAAACTATGCAATGAAAAGTAAGTATTCACTATTTTGTTAAATACTTTTGGGAATGCTCTCCTGAAAATAAAGAACTGTATATATATTTTTACAAATGACAGATACAGGGTGTGTACACAGCTATGTGTTCACATATAGTTACAATCATTTGTAGAAAGGGGTGTGTGTGGAATGGATAGTCTTGGACTGGGCTGGGAGTAGACACATTGTAATATGAAGAGTGATCAAAGTGAGTCTGTGAGAGGAGAGGAGATGAGACAAAATCAACAGCTAGAGTCACATGGCAAGAGTAGCAGCTAGATACAAATACTCACTTCGCTTCCTTCTTCAGCGCTCCAGAGAATGGGAAAAAGGTTCCATTCCTCTCTCCCCTTGTCTCCAAACAAGCATAGGAAATTAATTTTCTAAATCACTATACTGCTTTTGTGGTGGCCTTAATCAAAATCAAAGTTAAAATTAGCAGTAGGAGCTTAAATAAGCAGGCAATTAGTGCCTCCAGAACGTATTTTTCAGAACTAATTATGTGTGAAGAGTACTTTTCCACTATTTTATCTAAGTGTATCAGCAATCGAGAGTTGTATTTTTTGCATGTAGAAAAGTAAAAGAAGATATTTGTCTTACTGGAAAAGTAAAATATGGGGAAAGAAAACATTTTGTGCTATTAGGGAAGTTTAGTGTCTGTCTTTACTAGAGAACTGTTCCCAAATCCTGCCTTTACAAGTGAAAGGGAGTTTTTTCTTTCAGTTAGGGGTATATCAAAACAGTCATGCTATTTGTCAGTAAAGTTATGTTCTTTAGAGGACCTAAATAGCAAGGGGAATGAGATCCCAGCTAATCCAGTATTGTACTAAGTTATATTGATATCTAGTATCTGCCTCTCTGTCTTCTTTAAAACCTTATCACTTCACATTCTGCAAAAATTGGTGAGTTTGCTGCTTGGGGAGTACTGGCAGAGGACCATGGCCAGAGACAGAGAGCTAAACCCCTGCCGAGAGAATGTAGGAGTTTGGCAGAATTTACTCAAAGGAATAGGAAATATCTAAACTAGTGTTTGTCATAAATTCCCTGGGTAATGCACATATGGCTCCTGATCACATACCAGATTTTGGTTCTGCCATTAGCTGTGTCGTGAAACCCTAATCCAGAAGAGGAGTGTACTGGTGAGTATAAGTGAAAAAGATCAGCTTTGTAGATGGCTTGGATTCTCCTGAATTTCTCATGTGTGCAATTAGAGGGGGATTTTTTGGATAGGAGGTTGGTTTCCATTCATGTGAAATGAGATTTCATTAGGGCTTTGACTAGCATTTAAATCTTTATCTGGTATGTATTCTAAATGGCATTCTTTGGAGATCAATAGTCTCCACACAGTATTAGCAATAGGTTCCTGATTTTTAAAACATGGAATATTCCCCTTGGAAACAACTTGCAGTCTTTTCTGTCTTTTGGAGGATTTATTTGCTTATCTTTATTTTCTTTTTCACATTACTTTTCACATATCCATCGTGACAGAAAGGGGTTGGAATAATGTAAGCACAGTGTTGCATTACAAGAGCTCTGGTTGTGTGGATTCATTCTTTTGTATGAATAAGAACTTTTTTTTCTTTTAAGGGAGTAGAGGTAATAATCCTTGTACCACAGATTTGCGTAAATCTTCTGTACACATTGAATGAGTGGATATTTCTGTGTATGTTTGTGTGAATAATCTTTCATGCAAAGTCTGTTTTTAAGCTTACATTTTCATATGCAATGTATTAAAATGTTAATGGCAAACTCTCATGGCCTTCATGAAACAAGATTTGAATTTAAATTCTTACCGGTTAAATTTCCCATTATATCATTTGCAATGCAAGTAGTTAATTATACATCTAACACTTACTTAATGTTGGAAGACAACATCTACTCCCTCAGATATGAGGGTTTATCCTATGCAAGTGTGTGTATATATAATAGATCTAAAAACAAACTTAAAAATTCTCTCGCTCTAAAACTCAGCATGGTCTATTGGGGAGTCCTGAAATGCTTTAATCCTAGGGCAAAAGTGTGATTAGTGTCACAAAGCTGAGCTCAGTCCAATGGTTAGTGAAATGCTTTTAAATTTTTTTTTATTTTAGAACTTTCTGGCTTAAACTGGATTCTAAATTGATTTAGTATAGAAGTCTTTAGGTGACAGGAGTTTACTCACGGATCATGAAGGTCCTTTCCAACCTACATGATTCTAAGATTCTATATGTGATGAGGTATTACAGTGTGTGAAAAATGTTGAAATGCTTTTAGGGGATGTGAGGTAGGGCAGAGGATGGGATGTACAGTGTGAGTTTCAGACTTCAGATCTGCCAGACTTTGAGAGGCTTTAAGCAAAGACTGTGCTCCCTGAAGTGCTGCTTGCGTGGCACTCCAGGACGGGTCTGTCTGTTCCTCCAGTCTGAGGTAAAATGTAAATGTTTGCTGGGCCAGAGGGAGTGAGCAAATGACTCTATAGTCTAGTAATTAGCACACTTACTTGTAAATTGGGACAGACAGATCCCAGTCCTTGTTCTGGTGAATATTTAAGACATCTGCTCTGAATCAGACACAAGGAAAATTTCAAACTCTGCTTCTCCACATCCCAAGGCAATACCTAGTAAGTTTGAAGATGCATAGGATTTAGATGGTGAATAGCACCCGAATCCTCAAATCAATGTAGAGTTTTGGGGTTTTAAATTGAAACAGGTGGATTTTATAGTATTTTAAACTTAGCATTTTTACTAAGTCAAATTTGAGTCTTACCCAGAACAGGGTTATTTTTCCAACCTAAGTTGCTGAACTTAATGTTTACAGAGCTGTCTCTGCAGTTTGTCCTCTGTGTCTTTTGTTCAGTCTGACACTTGTTACCAGCAAGTCCAGTCTGCTATTTTCATTATATACTTCATCAATAAAATCACCTCATCGTTTTCATTAACGTTTTTGCCACAAGAACTACAAAATAATTAACCAGAAGGCTCTTACAGCTCTAATTACTTTCTGCTGACCTGGTCTATGTTTGCTCCAATGTTTCCTGTGTTACTCCATTGGCTTAACTTAGCTTTTCTCTCTTGTTTCTAGACAGTTAATTTGTATTTATCATACAAAGGCAATGGACAGAAAAATGAATGGGTTGTTATCCCATGGCATAGTGTCAGGAAGATGAGAGGGGAACCCTGCAGAGAGTGTAGGCAAAGAACAGAATAAAGAGCCTGGGGTGTCTGAATTGGATAGTTTTAGAAATTTTGCAAATGGAGTGAGGTAGCCATTTTCATACTTTGCTACATTTGCCACAAGCTGGCAGTCCTGAAGGGCAAAGAACATATTCTTTGCATGGTTGAGTAAGATCCTGATTCATAGTGCAAGAAGCTATACAGGCTTTTCCTTCTTACTGTGTCTGTACCAGCTCTGAACATGTCTTGGACCAGTCCTCTGCCTCAAGGTTTTGCAGGAGTGGATCACCTCACAGAATGGACACTGTATACTAGAATCATGATTTATGCTGTTGTTAAAATGTAGAGTTTGCCTCTAGTTACAATTAAATGCATAGATACTAGCTAAATACTAACTAAATGCACTTGTAATTTAGGGCTTTGCGTTCCCTCCATTTCTTTTCAGATTGTGTGGTCATCTGGCTCATTACAGAGAAGTGGACTTTCCCCAGAGTTACCATTTTGTACTAAGGTTATTCTCCTTTCTTCTGAGGATTCAGCCCTCTTATATCCATGATGAGGTGTGTATGATAGAACACAAACTTTTCAATAAAAAACTCTATAAAAAGCTAAAATACAACACTGTCCTAAGGAAGTATTAAACCCATGTGAATTAGTTGGTTGCATCCCAAACCGTGGCATTACATCTAAACTTAGACTGATTCTTTTGTCTGTGTGGAATTTTTGTGCTAAGATAGTAGTGCTGGGATGTACTACTGTACTTCAGTTTTAACATCGTTGTATCTATGATTTAATTTGCCAATACCCAGCCGGGAAAGGAAACTGTTAATCACAATTTGTTTCATTAGTTTGCAATAGAGCCAACAGGAAGCTGTGAAATTACCATTTTTTGGGCATAACTCTATGTACTTCAAGTGCACTGGGCAGCATGTTAGCATCTAATTACATTGTGAGATTTTGCAATTAAAATGTCTATTTTTTACCTACCATTGTATGACAGTAAATATATTTCTAGAAACTAGTGTTTACTTTGTTTTTAAATGCTATGTGGACAAATAAAAGGAGCAGTCATTTGGCATTTTCACTGCCGTGAGTTTTGTGGTCATTATTTCTTAACAGACTGTTCTGGAACAGCTCTGCAGTTTGCTACATTCCCTTACATCCTGTGTATCTCCCAGTGTCTTGTTCTGCCCGAGCCTCTCATTCAAGTTAACACCTTTCAGGTCCATATTCCACTTCAGGCTTCACAGATTTTGCAGATACTTTTATACCTGACATAAAATCCCATTTTATTTCTTGTGCAGTGGGAGCTGCCAGGTTCTCCTGTTGTTCTTATTTTGCAGTACAACTGTCATATCCTTGAATTTCTTTTGACCACTTTATGATCCTGCCTTGGCCATTCTAACAGCTTCTCATGCACTGTGTTTTTACACTGTCCCAGACAATGTGTAAATGAGGTTGGGTGCTGCCACTACATTAAAGACACCATAACTTATACATATGTTGAACTGAGATGTTGCATAGATACTCAGATTAACAATGTTGCCTTCAGCTGAATGAAATAAAATTCAGCAAGTCCAACTGTCACTACGGAGTACAGAACTCACCAAATCTATTTCTTCAAAACAAAAGTCAACAGCCCTTTCTAAACACTGTTATAACCAAGAAAAACAGTGCCTGCAGACTTCACAAAGAGTAATAGCTCTGTTCCTGTACAAAAGCTTCAGTGAGGTATAATCTGGGAAGGTAAACAGTTCAGCAAGCAGACTGTGAAGGGTTTTAAATCTGCTGCAGTTCAATCCAAGAAGCCCTTGTCTAAAAATTGGGAATAGTGAATGACAGGAGAGGTGATGTCCTGCCTATGTGCCTGGAGCAGTGTGTTAGTAGTATTTCAAGCACAGGTGGAGCAGATGGGACTATTAAAGGTAAGTTTTGATAGTTACATGGAAATACTGACAAACTGGGAGGCTTTGCTGGCTCAGGAGAGGCAGGAGGTGATAAAGCAGTGTCTTGATTTAAGGTGACAGAAAAGACACAGTTTGGCTCAAAGTTTTTACTTTTTCAGATATTCTAATTAGTTATTGTAGCACAGGGATTTAGAGCATGGGTCCTATAGAAGTGACTGGAACATGCAGGTGAGAAGGCATAGCTTAAGCCATACAGAGCTAAACTCTGCTTGGTGGGGGAAGAGGAAAGAGCAGACTGGATTGTTACTTGGTGCATGTGTTGGAGATTTCATAAGTGAGTACAGTTTAGTATGTCCAAATCAATTGCCATGTTGTGCTAGATACCTCAGACTTCTGGCAAGGTGTGTCTTGGACTGATGTTTACATTGACAGACCTGGAACATAGTGTCTGGTGTTTGTGTTTTAAAACTACCCAATGTCTATTATGTTTGACCTCACCTGTGTGAATTACTAGAGTCTGTAAGTATTTGGTAAAATTATTCATTGTACTTTTTGTAGATGAGTATTTGTATCAGTTAAAAGTGTAATACAGATTGTCACTGTTTTCAACAGTGTTTGCTCAAGTGACTAAAAGTGTCTCATTCTTTTTACTATAATATCTGTTACAGTTTTAAATTAAGAATCTAAAGGACACCTTGTTACACATAAAGGATTAAGTTAATTCAGAAGTCTTTATTTGAAAGACTAACACACTTAATTATAGGTATAACTTTCTTTTAAAACTACCAGAGTAGTAAAATCCGAGCTTCATAAATTAAAAGTACAGTGCTCATTGTTACCTTGTTACAAACGTAAGAAAGCTCCCTTAGATGTTCAACTAAATTAAGGCTGTGCTTTAATAAACTGGAATAAAGCTTGCAGTTAATCATCAGGAGCCATGTGCCTTCTGGTCACATAGGTTAAGAGTCAGATTTAAAATAAAGGGTGTGCCCCTAAAATACTTAATGTTAGTTCTATCCAGTTTAATCAATCAGCACTCATGTTGGAGTAATGATATTTAAGAAGCTGATGAGCCACAAGACTGCCTTATCGTCAGTGGAGTGTAGTTGAGCTCTCTTGGGACAGCTACTCCGAGTCCAGTTCACACAAGCCGGAGGTGGAGCTGCACTGGTGGAACAGACGAGAGCTGAAGGGGAGGGTGTCTGCCACAGCCCAGCACTGCCCACCCCTCCGCCATCGACTCTTTACTTACAGCTCCTCTCTGTAACTATTTGCTGAAAATGTCCAGGCAAAGCTCAGCTACGATTTTTGTACTTCTTCCTGTGAAAATTTTGAGTAAAGAAGCTCACTTTGTTTTGATTTTTATTCTAAAACTGGAATGGCAGACAGTTCTTAAATATATAGATATAGGCAAGTGAGTTTTTTAGACTAAATATGTAAAGCAGTATATATTGAGAAGACTTAATAATTAACTTAAGAGCAAATCAGTTACTCTGAGACCTTTATGAACCTTCTAAAGTGAATTTAGTCTTTTTCCTAGTTTGTGTGTTATATTTTAACACAGTTTTTTCTGTCTTTAAGAGTGCAGAAGTAATCTTTCTTTATGAATACTCCTGAATACTGCAATCTTTCTGTTGTTTTGGTGGAGAAATATGATAGATATCTCATTTTCTTTTGAAAGGGACAGCCTTCAGCACAATTGGTGTTTTACCCTTACTTGTTTTTCACTACCTCAGTGTTTTGGTGTTCCCAATATCAACTTAGTCAAATACATTTTTCTTTTGAAAGTTTTTTATGTTTTCCAGACATTAAGGAGAGGTGTTTCACTTTCTCCTTAACCTCTTACACAGATTGAAGGGCCTGAACCTGATTCAACCAGAGAATGAGAATCAGCAAAGCCCAGTGCTTGCAACCAATGCTAGTCTAATTTATTGACCATAGTGTGTTGCATGGGATTTACTGCAATTACATCTTTCCTAACCCATTTTTAGGATGACCCCTGATACAGTCATGTTTAGAAGATCTGAGAAAGTTTCATGCAGTGTTGCAGGCAAGGCAGTGAATATCTTGCTTTCTCATAACTTCTCAGAGAGCTCAAAAGTCCCTTCCTCAAATGACTTTTCTTCTTTTATGGAAAAACAAGACCTTCGCTTGTTCTGAGAAAAAAATTATTAATGATATTTGTGGTAGGTTGCCAAGAGGATGCTTTTGCAGGGCTGGGAGCAAAAGAGCCTGGAACTCACAGGGCTTTTGGGACAGGTAAAGTCTGAAAATGTTAAATCCCCAAATAAAGCTTCTGCTCCCTAGTTCATTTGTCCTTTCCCCATATCAGGTTGAGTAAGTTTTATTCTGCTTCACAGGCAGAGAAAAGTAAGGATAACTCTGCATAATGAATCTTGTACTTTGATCCAAAATGAAATGAGCTTCCCGGCACATAACAGTCATATTTCCTGGCTGAGCATGTTAGTGTGTGGATTGGTCAAAGCATTGTCTCTCACTGCAGTTGTCCTTGGACTAAATGCAGGATTTTTGCTGTCCAGCATCTCCTCCACTGCTACTGGTCTTGTGGCTCCTCATTCTTGACGCTTCTTTGTTCCTGGCCAGATTAGATGAGGGAGCATAAAGGGGATTGCAAGATGTGGAAACAGGCAATTGTGGAAGATCTCACCTCATTACTGTTCCTGCTAGGATGCTGCTGAAATGGTGAACAAGAGTGAATAAGGATTAGCAGAACAGGAGATGGATGCTTGTGTCCTCACATGAGGTTATTGCTGCCCTTGTACAACTGCTAATGGCAGCATTTCCAGAGCCAGAACACACCTCCCCAGCCCTTGGCATCTGCACTCTGCCTCCAGCAATACAGCAGGTAGTTTTAGAAGAAAGTACAAGCACATTCCTCGGGTAATCTCATATGGCTGCTGTCTACTGTAGAAGTATTCTATGTCTGCTCTTGGCCCACCCCATCATCGCAGCAGTGGCTTTGCTCATCGGCTGCAGACCCTGCCATCGCCTCGTGATGACGGCACCAAGTGTGTCAGTGTCTGTGTTGGGATCTTGGAGCTTGGTCTGGATCTTGGGATGATTCTGTCATGCTGTGTCAGGATAAAATTGTGGCAAACCAATTTTTGTTTACTGAACTGAGAGCCAGGGCACTCATAACTCCTAGCTGGGCAGCTGGGTGGTTTCCGTGCTGTGGAGCAAAGCGGATTAGGCAGGGAACAGTTTGCAGGAAAGGAGCTGCACACATTGTTCTCTCTACAGCAGTATCAGCCCGTGTGGCAGGACCCGTGGACACAGCAGTCAGTCCCAGAGGAAGCACAACATTGAGCAGAGACAATAAATGCTCAGGGGGACTGGATGATGTGCTAAAGATTTTATCATCAATAAAATTCTAGGTTTCAGACTGCCTATTTTTAATGTATAGGCTGCTGCAAAACTGATGAATTTACAGTGTAGTTATTTCAGAGTGTCCTCAGTCATGATGGAACTGCACCTCCTGCTCCTGAGTAGTCTGTATGTGTTCAACAGTGCCTACATTATCTTTAGGGATAAATACAGAATCAAAAGGGGAATTTTCAAGGAATGTCTGCAAGATTGCATATAGGGATATGACTGCAGTGAAAAGCAAACTGTTTCTTTGTTCTATATTTCACACATTGTGCGTTCTTTTATTTCTTTATCCTTCCACATCCCCCCAGCTTTTTTCAACAAGGAAATCTTTCTTTCCTAAAAGC